CAGTATATTTTTGGTGAACGTCAAATCTGGCGTGGTATCCGCGCAAACGCTAGTACCTGTTCTTGTAGGAATGGATGGATCGGTCACGAGCGTCAGGCCCTCCTCCTGTGCGTCCAACCACAAGTTCCTGCCTTTCTGGGTTTCGATCCTGTATCCCCATGCACCGTGTGGGGCGTTGAAATCTCCTCCAATCACTAGCGCCCGGTTGCCCGTTATAGCGAGGGTTTTTCGAAACAGCGTGCGGAATTTGTGCTTTCTGCATTTAGGACTGCTGTAAATATTCAATACGAAAAGACTGTCCTCTGTTTTTCGCGTGGGTATGAGTTCGAGGAGAATGTGATTTATTGCCTTGATTTCCGTGTCATGTTGCACCACCGCGTGATTTCGCTTAACCAACGTTGCTAATACCTTTGTCTCCCCATCAGCACTGCCGAATGACTTATACCCCGACAGTTTGACCAGCCCGTGCGTTTCTTGCACCATTATAACATCCGGGGTGCTGGTGTCTTTAAGATGTTGTTGCAAAATGTATCGTTTTCGATTATATCCTCGACAATTCCATTGCCAAATCGTGTACCTATTTTGTCTGTCCATGGCGGCGTTACAGGCTCTCTAATCCCTCGGTGGGCACCGAGGTCCTAGCGTACGGTTTAAAAGACGTCTTAACTGGGCCCCCACCACTTGACTGCGATCCCCATATTGCTAGCTTGGCGTCGAAATCAGCCACCATTTGCTGCACTTTCTGCAATATCGTCTTGCCTAGCTCCTCAATTTTGGCCTCTATGTTTGCCTCAAATCTAACTTCTTGTTGTTCGTTCGAGCTTAGTTTGCAATTTTTTCTCAATTTGTTCTATTTTGGCTTCCATGGTGTTTGCGAATTCTTCCTGTCTTTCTTGTAGCGTCGCCACTGCTTTTGGTTTCTTTACCACGCTTTTAATCGGAGCGTTCTCTGGTTTACGTTTAACAGGGGTGAGGGCTGCTACCTCTTCCTCCATTGCTGCGCCTTTTTCCTTCATTATAACTTGTGAGATTTCCTCGTTGCGTGTAACCCCTCCGTTTTTCAGAAAATCATTTTCTTCCCTGAGTTTTCTAATCTCATTCATAAATGCAACATTGTTCTGCCTGATCTGCGCCAATTCGTTCTCTAGCGCCTTAATTCTACATTGAAAAGCAGCCTCTGCCTCCGCGCGCGCCCCGGAAGCCACATCAGCCCAGCTCACCTGGAAGGGTCCCGCGGTGCCACGGACGCCGCTCGGTCCTTTTGAGCTTTGGGATCCTCCTCCCTCCTTTGATCGGGGAGACCCGGTGTTGCCGGTCTTGGGTCTAGACCTCGATCTGGACCTCGATCTGGATCTCGACATAGATGTGGTGGTAGTAAACGTAGAGCGGTTTTTGTTTTGTGTTTGAAGCTTGGTGAAGGCTTCTGGTCCGGATGCGTCCCGCGTCCGATGTTCCGATCTTTGACCTGAGTCGCCCCATCTTTGCCTGTGAAGTGCTTTCGCTTCCGTCTCGTAGTAAAGTGCTTCTTCTTCCTCTCGTCGGGCTCGTTCCCAGCGGCGTCGTTTCACCAGATACGGTACCTTAAATCTGGCCTTGCAATGGCGATCTGCCGTCGGGTGGTCTTTGCCACACAGCTGGCACTTCACTTCGCACTCGTGCTCCTGCGGTGGGTTCTTAGTGCCACACCCTCTGCATATTCTGTTATTCGGGCTCGGGCAGACGTCAGCTCTGTGACCAAGGTGTCCATACTGGTAGCACACGTCTATTTTCTTGCAGTATAGTGAGCACTTGACCAGTGCTCTTCCGTAGCTCACATAACTTGGAACGCGATGCCCATCGAAGAGGACGATGACGTTTGTGGTGTTTCCCATCCTCTTGGCCATGAGGACTGTCGGATTTCTCGGGGTTATCAGCATTTCCACGATCTCTCTTGGAGACACGTCCTGCGTTACACCTCGGATCACCCCTTTAGATGTATCTTCCGGAGCTGACTCGTACGCATTGGCTTCGAATTCTTTGTCCCCAATCTTCAGTTTAGCGATGGTTCTGTATTTTTCGGCGCGCTCCTCTGATGGTGTGCTGACCACTAGAATGTTCTGTTTATAGTTGGCACATACCGTGTCTTCTTCCGATTCATTCCTGGGTATTTTAGCGGCGTTGGCAACGCAGCATTCTAGACGATTGATCCCGTAGTCAGTGACCTTGAAGCCGTCACGTGGGCGCACAATTATCTTGTAATCTTCCTTCGGCAGACGGGGCATCCTGCTCGCAGCCGCAATTTGTCTTGCTCTCTGTCCCTTCCTCCATCTATTACTGACCACGTTCTCGCTTGAGAAGTGCGTTTCTTGGTCCTTGGCTTCATGCGTTGTGGTTTCTTTGTTGGCTCGTCCTTTTCTGTTCACAAGGCGCCAACCTGCGTCGTTCTCATACTCTTGTTGCGTGATATCTTCGCCATCCACGCTCATCGTAGCCATCCTGTGGCATTAACCCGATAAGACGCCGCCTTGAAGGGGCTCAAGACGCCAGCGTCCGTGGGCTAGGCCAAGCGCATTATGCACAGCAGCAGGAGGCAACGGCGTCGTGCGTTCGTCGGCGTTACAGAAATGTGGTCAATGTGCCGAAAATTTAACGTCCACCTACTTGAGAGTGGTATCGCGGGGTTCCTTGGAACTTCCACTTTCTTCACTGTAAGAAGGTGTCCGTCAATTCTTCGATTTCACGCTGAGAATCGCTGAAAATCTGCGGAGCCGACGCGACATGCGTGTCTGCACTCCGTGGCCCCCTGGCGGTCGCCTCAAGAAAAGGGAAGAAAAAAAAAAGAGCCCATTTCTGTCTGCCTTGTAGGCGACAGAAATGGCTAAGCTTTGTTTAGTTTTGTTTTGTGAGTGAGATTTTACTCTCGGTAGCGCTCATCATGTTGACGTGAAGTCAAAATGAACACTCCGCTAATTAACCACGTTTCGCTGATTAACTTTCATACTGATGGCTTTGGCACGTAGTGCAATATACAGAGTATTAATGGTGACGTCAGAAGAACCAATTTGGAATGAATACAGAGGATTACAGCGGTTCCGATCGATAAGTGTTACTGAAGGTTGTGATGAAATGTACGGGCGCTTCGGTTACTTTTGATCTGAGACGCGTAGGAAGGCGTTTTCTTGCAATAACCTAGAATGACAGTGCATATAAAAAAAAAAACTGGCAAATTTTAGAGCCCTTATGCAAAAAACCGTTAGCGTCAAAGTTTGTTGTAGGTGCGTATCTTGTCAAGGGCTCGCAAAATGCGGATGAAACTTTTTCCATAATGAATTCACTGATTTAACACGTATGCGAGCTTGACTGATTCGTTCAAAAGCTGATTGTTAAAATAAATTTAATGAACCCGCCACGGTGGTCTAGCGGCTCGCTCACTTGCCTGCTCACTCGCAGGTCGCGGGATCAAATCGAAAATGCTGCAGGCGAAAATGCTTGAAGCCCGTGTGCTTAGATATTGGTGCACGTTGAAAAACCCCCAAGTGGGGTTCGTGACGCCCCCAAGAATTATTAGTATGAAATAAATTCATCGCTTATAGCCTTACGTCTGTAGAACAAGCTCATAGTCACTGTCACTTCTCCTCAACGTTGTTTTTCGATCTGCGGGCGAAAATGTGGCCAGCTTCGAAAACTGATTCGTCTATTATAAGAGCTGCCGTGAAATATCTCACAGCTTATGAATGAAGCTGTAAAAAAGAGAAAAAAAAACTGGACACTGGCCAATTTTACTGAAACACGAAATTGCCGTTTTATACTCCATGCAGCACCTCGCAGCATGCTCATTCAAGAGTTCAAAAACACACGGCTGATTGATTGATTGATATGCGAGGTTTAACGTCCCGAAACCACCATATGATTGTGAGAGACGCCGTAGTGGAGGACTCCGGAAATTTCGACCACCTGTGGTTCTTTATCGTGCACCCAAATCTTAGCACATGCACGGGTCTACAACATTTCCGCCTCCTTCGGAAATGCAGCCGCCACAGCCGGAATTCGATCCCGCGACCTGCGGGTCAGCAGCCGAGTACCTTAGCCACTTGGCCCCGCCGGCGGGGCCGCAATCATAACAGAGAGGTTGTGGTGGTGACAATGCTTTGTTGCTTCCCACAAAGCCGGGAATTCACTCGGGCCACGTGCATCGTAAGGCTATATGTGTAATGTAAATTTGCGCATGCTTGTCTTGTCAACCGCGGCCCATCTTTAGATGCAAACCTATACAGTGAATGATGTAGCGTGGTGGCGTGCGCATTTCTTGCAGCAAAGATACGTTTATTCACCGTTAATACCCATTCGATGCTTCGCTTTGACATGAAATGGGTCGCTCCCTTTCACAGAAGCAGTGCACTCGGCCCCCGTGGTTCTCATTTGGGCGGCCATAACAGACGACGCCGGCAGTCAGGCAATATAAGAAGCGTAACACTTTCCCGGGACAGTTATTTAGCACTTCGTACAGTCGGGGAACAAGCTGCAGCAGTATTTTACTGATTTCGTTGATTGAATTACCACAAAAATGATAATGACAAAAAAAAGGCGCGAAATCGGCTCATTTTACGAAATAAAATAATCGAGCATCTAGGTAGGGATCGATTGCCAGAAAGTGATTGCATTTCTCTGCATGCAGTCTTGACTGTCGTATATTGCAGCTCCTATAAGTGACGTCAGTTGTTTTACTGTCTTTCTATAGCCTTCGGGGAGCAGCTCGAGAAGTGCCCGGGGTGACGCTTCTGCTGTCGACGTGCCCCAACACTCGGTGCGTATTCTTGATTGGCCTAACTAGGGAGAAAGGGGAATTACCCCCTTCCCCATTCCGAAATCTTTCAGTTTTGCATGTGTCACTCACGCTTGTTGCACGCACGAATACGCATAAATGGTGTGAACATAGACACATAAGCAACACGAAGTTCGTAGTAGCCAAAGTTCGTAGTAATGAAGAATGCATCGGGAGCTATATAAGTGACTCGGCGCAGGTCCACACGCTGGTGGAGCCACCCGACCGTCGCCTGTGGTCGAGCGAGCTGAAGCTCATCCTCTCCTGCACCGCCATCGCCATCGGCATGGCCAACATCTGGCGATTTCCCAAGGTGCTCTACGAGAACGGAGGAGGTGGGACTGCACACTTTAAGATGAATTGCTTACTCAAACAGGCACTGTACTCAACATATTGTTTGCTCGAAGTGATGCTCTACACTTCGATATATTGCTTAGAAGAAGAGATACAAGGCACTATTAGACGAAACATCACATTTAGTTCTTCATTTATGGCATGGAAAACGAAGGGAAGGGGAGTATGTGCTGTCACTCATTCATATGAATAACATTGCTTGCTGGTCTGTCTCTCTTTTTTTTAAGTACATGGGCTTTCGTGTACTGGATATCGTCAGATGCGGCCTTCGTCCTGCAGTGCATACATAATGCGGTATTATTAATGCGAAAGTCTCAGATCCCTCATAAAATGCGAAAATTTTACAATCACTGGCGTAGGCGTCAACGCGAGTGATGAAAAAAAAAATCACGCGATGACGTCATCAGATGACGTCGTCACAACGTACGTCACAGAGTGCCACAGTCGGTTGTATTGCTGCTGAAATGACTGTTTGCAATGGTTACGCAGCGAGGTGCAGTCACGTTGTTTATTGACATCGTAGGTGACGTAATGGGCGCAGGTACTGGTACTCCAACGTACTGGTACTCCAATATCTTTCTGCTTCGAGGACATCAAGTCTAGAGTACTGGGCGACTTGGTATATATTCATGTTGAGGCGTAGCACCAGGAAAAAGGGACCTGTTTGCAGTTGACCTGTTTCAGCGTGTTAACGACGCCGTTGGAACGTGTCTTGGATCTCTTTGCATGTATGAGGAAACAACCTGCATGGTATGTGTCCCGTCACCATGGTACTCCAACATGACGGTTCCGCTGACGTCAGTGCAAGCCATCTGTGCTTTCCGTGCGCAGGCTCGTTTCTGCTGGCGTACACGGTGGCACTGGTGGCGGTCGGCTACCCTCTCTTCTACCTCGAGCTCATCCTGGGCCAGTACACACGACTCGGACCCGGCGCCGTGACCAGATGCGTGCCCCTGGCCAGAGGTAAGGCCATGATATATAACTAAGCGCGTATCTTGGAGGTCAATATAAACATTTATTCACGCAGCTGGTGCTTCTCAAGTCAGTATATTTTGGTCGTCTTCGGTTTAACCTATACGAATGATATGGTTATCAATGAAGTGATGTGGCTGTACGCGTAAAAAGTGTGTTGTCTACGCATATGACGTAACTTCGTTGCTTTTCGCCAGATGCAATAGAGGTACTTGACACGTGTGAATCAAGTTCTGCGCTCGCAGGTTGACAGTGTTGGTCAGCTGTAAAAAAAAAGTACATGATTAATGAACCCAGAATCAAATTATAATATTCCAACGTGCCAGTGGAAATGCTGACGAAGCTCGCTTTAGGTCTTTCACATCCCATTTGCAGTGCGACAACTTTTTCTATGATAGGGGGATAAGCGGAGGCCCCAGTCATATGTTTAAGGCAAAGGCTTACATGCCTCATTGAACGCGTAAATCACGCCCTCAGATGACAGTCACGTTATTTTGGTGACCTGTGACATTATGAGGACGTCATTTGGCACGTAATATGACGTGACGATATGACATTTTGATGACGTCACAGGGCTTTGGTAAGAGCTGAGACAACCGGCATTGGCAGAAGCGGAGCCTCCTGAGATTAAAAAAGGGGTTTCACGACTTTTCCGCTAGAGGTGTGGGCGCATGTTGCGTGGCATTGTGAAAGAGGCGGATCGTCGAGTTTTAAACGAGTGTGTGGAACTAGCGCCTGCTGTGCACGATTGAGCAGGTGTGGAGGTGTGCGCCGGCCTGCTGAGCCTTCTGATGAGCAGCTACCTGCAAGCCCTGCTGGCGCAGTCTCTCCTGCAGCTGCTGCTCGCCTTCACCGACTTCAACCTGGTGCAGCTGTCCGGATGCCACGGATTCTGGGAGCAGCAGATAGAGACCTGCTACAGGGCAGAGAGGGTATGGCTGCTTGATGGGAGCGCAGGATTCGTTATCAGGAGGGGCTAAAATTCACCACAGCGCAACCCCCCCCCCCCCTTTCATGCCCACTAGTTGGTAGAGTACGAAACTCAATTGGATTCGAATCAATTTAATTCAGTTATTGTTCACAAGAAGATATATACATCAGTTTTGTGATAAGGCAGGGCCCCATACCTCACAGAGGGGTTGTGAAGGGGGCCCTTAGCTTCGCCATGGATACGAACATGAAAATGAAGCAATGTCATGCCTCTCGCAGTGGTCTGCCTTTGGTCTCTGGAATCCAAGGAGTGAAGGTAGGAAGCGAACAGATTTTGGAATGAAGCATCAGCGGTCCCCAGGCCGCTTTTATCATACACACACACAAAAGAAAACAACGTGGCTATTAACACTGCATATTATGCAATTAGAGGACAGATCCAACAAACGGGGGGTGGGTGGTGCAGACTTGGTGCTGCCTCACAAGATTAGAGGGGGCACCCCTCCCCATTCCTCTCCTCCAGTGCACACGCGTAAGCTGCCTTTTTGAAATTTATGTTTGTAGCTAGCAGGGCCGTATGAATTTTTTTTTGGGGGGGGGGGGGGGGGGCAGCAGGAGCACTTTTTTGAAATGGCAATTTTTTTGCTCTGTATTTGCAAAGGCGAAAAAAAAACATTCGGGGGAAGGAAGGCAGGGACCCAGTGTACCACCTCCTGGCTACGGACTGGTGGTTATCCTGCAGCTATAGGGAAAGTCGTTCGAGCCATAAATTAAGCAACGCGTACTTTGTATGATATAAGCTGCCGACGGGGACAGGTGACTCCGTGGTTACCTTGTGCTGTGTTCAACAAAACAAACGATATCTTAGAAGCACTTCTCGAGGCGCTGATTGGTGAAGCATCGTTAAAGTAAAAGCGCTAATTCGGGCACCGCGGAAATAAGGCCACCACGTGAGCGCCATCCTGTAGCCCTACTTTCTTTCTCAGGCGCTCGTCCTGTTGTCTTACTCTCGTGGTGCGTAAAATTGCAATTGTGGCTATTTTTTGGAATGAACGAATGAACAGAATTTATTTCTGGGAAGATACAGAAAAACGAAGCGAAGCTAAAGGCCATTCGGCCTGACGTGGCTTCGCTCGCGAAATGATAAAAGTTGAGCAAACAGTGCTACATTGATTAATGATTAAATAAAAAAAACAAAAAAACTAGTATTTGTTCCATGTATGAATACAATCGATGAGCGAAGCTCTTTAGAAATGGGACGCAAACGACTACGCTCCCGATCTCGCTGATGGCTTTCACGAAAGCGGCAGGGTGGGAAACGGGTAGGGCAGAGAGGTCTGCTGCGCTTGGTGGCGGGAACGACCGAAAGAGGGAGCGTGCGGCGCGCGCGGCGCAGCTCGCGCCATCTGCCGCGGCGTCTGCGCTCTCGCTGCACCGGGTGCGCGCACCTGTTGTTTTGCTCGGCGCGCTTGCCCGGCGAAGGGAGCTTCGACGGCGGAGTGCGGGCCAAAGGAGCTTCTCTCCTGAAAAAGACGAGAAAACATACCTCTAGATTCACATAAAGAACAGCGCCAATAGAGAGTTTTAGTATTGCGTACGCTGCGTACGTGGCGGCGTTGCGTACGTAAGGACGCCACGTTCTGCGTAGTGCGCATGCGCAGACCGCAACGCGCACGTATCGCGTTACGTACGCAGCCGCTACGTACGCACGCATGAAATGCGTGCGTGCGTACGTATGAGGTGATCGCGCCGCTCTCGAACAAGTTCGCGACAGCGCGAGACTTCGTTTTGCAAAATGGCGGCATCGAAGGCAAGCACCGACCGGCTCTGTGGCTTAAAATACGGCCATAATCTGGCTATAACACTTAGATTGGCTCACATTGGCTGTCAACAACACGTGCTTCTATTTTGATCTACCAGATGACGCAACACGTTTCACGCTCGTTACGTACGCGGGTACTACGGCGTACTAAAAGCCGATTAGTGGCAAACGACGCCACGTAACGCAAGGCGCTTGCGTGATGCGTACGTAGCACCATTCCGCAGTACTAAAACTGTCTAATAACGAGGAACAAGAAAAGGAAGAGACAGACAGACTGTCTCCTTCTTTTCATGTCCCTCGTTATTGCCGCTGTTCTTATGTGAATCATGTCGTACCGACTCGCCCAAGCAACCACGTTAGCCACCTCTAGATTAACACGCGCTGTTGCTTTCACGGAATTGTAATCTGTGCAGTGTTTGTGCGTACGAAGCAGCGCTCGTGAGCAGAGCTTCTCCGCAATGCGCAGCGGGTGTGCGGCTCACCCTACCGCGTGTCGCACGCTCCGCGGAAGGGACGTCGCAACCACTCGTCGCTGCCCCTGCACGTGCGACCGTTCAAGTACGACGACGTCGTCATGGACTGCGTCAACGTCACCGAGACCATGAGCGAGCACTTCTTGTGAGTCGCGAAGTCACCCGGCGCACCCTTTGTTCTTGTTGTTGCGGGCTGAAGTTGGGAGAATAAGTCGCGCGGAAGCCGCTGTACAGCTCGGCACTGGATGGCCGGTTTTCTGAGCGAGCGAAATGACAAGGGCTCGAGATATTTAAGGGGACGTCCGGTCACTGTATATGCTTCATGTTCGTCTACGCATTGAAGAGCTGTTAGTTTTGCGCTGATGTGGGTCCTTCATCGCTGCCTTCGGTTCTATTTTTTTGTTGTAAATTTGTGCAAGAAACGTCGTTCAGTACAAAATATTCACGAAGTGCATTCGAGCGCTACTCTGGTGCCGCTGTGTACTATCAGGCTATCACTGTGTGTCTATCCTGTGCTCTTATCGTTGCTCATGCTTAAAGGGTATACCTATTCAAAATGCACCAACAAGCCCATTTAAAGACATCAGTCGATTTTTGATACAGCTGCGTATAAAGCCAAGACACAAAGCCCCTCGTGATCGGCTTTGCGAAAAAGACCGTGAAAATCAGCGCATATATGCACGCAAAATAATGCCTATAGTGCCAGCCTGATGGGACTGAAGATGGCATGCCACTCATCTTGACCGTTTTCTCAAATAGCTTCCTCTGTGGTATTACGAGCGCATAAGTAGATAAGACACGAGAGGCATGCTTCTATAGTTACACAAACGAGCGCTCATTTCAAACTAAAATTTATTCGCAGAACCTGGACACGTTTTATCCTACACCGAACACGCAAAAATATGCCTGAAACTTGAATCTAAAACAAACTGCTCTTTTTTTAAAATCTGTTTTGTGATCCTAATGCGCAGGAGGCACTCGATGGGTTTTTCGTTACTTACATTCTTTATTTAACTCTGAGGTGATAGTTGTCACTCTGTTTTCAAGTTTGTGTTGACTAGAGGTGGTGAGAGCGCTTCAGGCTCTTGGAGTGAACAAACACAGCTTACGTGGTGGGTACAAGCCAAAGCACATTTATTTAACTAATTTACAACAACGATATCGTCCACCGAATCGATACATGAATCGTTATTAATACGCTAGAATATCTGTACGCAATATTGCCATACACTCCAAAACATGACAAACAAAATAACACGACAAACACAATGACATGACAAACGCAATAACACACCCAAGGCGGCGTCGCCAACGCTTGACTTGCCAAGAGGGCCCCCGGCGTGCAGCCCGCAGTGCCGAGCACCGGGTACCCACGCTAGAGACAACCGTTTCGCGGCAACCGCCACGCGCAGCACAGACTCGTTCAACCACAGAGCACCTATACACTACCACACTCGCCCGCCACCAAGGCTTGCCTTCCGCTAGGGGTCACCGCCGGCGCTTCCACTCTACCAACCATGATAATGATAGTGGTGCCCAACGCGAACACAACGTCATCTATCGCCTGGTGGTTGTAACCCGAAATGCGGCTTTTGGGCGAGACACGTGCGCCACGCGGCGCAAACAGATTTACAGGAAGTGTCAGCACCCCCCGCAAGTTGTAGTTTCACGCGTGCGTTTCCGTGTTCGATGTGGGATAAAACCTGGTCAGTTTTTTTTGTTGATAAACGTTGGTTTGAAGCGAGCACTCGTTTGTGTAACTCTGTCTCTCGTACTTTGTGGATCAGTACGATTTATGGATCAGTACGAACTCGCCCCGATTTCTAGGCTTATAAAAGTGCTTCCTGTAAACTTTTATATAACTGCAGGCCTTTCTGCATTTTTATATAAGATCTGGGTGTGTGTTGCTTGGGTGAGGGGCAAGTGCAGTTGCGACTGTGGGCTCTTGCGTGCGTAGTGTCTAGATCGTCGTTGGCGCCACACCTCTTTTTATCAGGTGAAACGTCAGAAATGCTACGTGACTTTCTCGCATAACGTTCTCGCATTAAGTCTGCCAGAACGAGGCATCCGCTATGAATTAAGGGAAGTGAAAATTTAAGGACTAGTTTTTTTTTCTTTTTTACACACAATAGTAAATGAAAACTAACAGACGTTGCTACATTTTCGTCCACTTTTCTTTTTTAGAGTTTACATTACAATTACTACTAACATCCCCTATACATTCCTTGGCATCATTACCTGTTAGTTCTAATCAATATTGTGTCGAACAAAAAATTAAAAAAACGAGCCCTGCCTCGCCGCAGTGGCTAAGGTACTCGGCTACTGACCCGCAGGTCGCGGGATCGAATCCCGGCTGCGGGGGCTGAATTTCCGGTGGAGGCGGAAATGCTGTTGCACGTTAAAGAACGCCAGGTGGTCGAAATTTCCGGAGCTCTCCGCTACGGCGTCTCTCATAATCATATGGTGGTTTTGGGACGTTAAACCCCACACATAAAAAAAACGAGCCCTTCCATTGCCTCGTCTTACCTATACCTGCTGTGAGTACACTCTTCTTGACGAGCTTCAAATCTCACGTCGATCCCGTTGCCCCTTCTGTCAGGAGAATGCCCTTGAAACGACAAGCTCACAGTTCCAATTGTTTTTTTTTGTTTTTTAAAACAAAAGCGAGTGTGCTTATGAGGTGCGTGTTACGCGGTCGCAGCCACACGTCCGTCGGCCTTCGTTCCCACCGGCAAGTGTGGAGCGTGGGCGGCTTGCACATGGAGCTGCTGATGTGCTTGGGTCTCATGTGGGTGCTGCTCTTCGTATGCCTCGCATCGGGGCTGCGTACGCCGGTAATAGACTTTTTTCCCTTTTACTATTGCCATCATCATCACGTGATGATGACGCCACACTATGAAGTCGTCATCACGTCAAAGACAGACCAAATTTGTGGCGCTATTATGACGATAGTTATAGCGCGAGAACAAAACGACGACACAGAGACAAGAAGGACACGAAAGACACGTCACTATACCTCACAATGTGATGCCACATGATGACGACATGACGTCACACCGTCGCCTGGTAAAAAGTGTGCCGACCACGGAGCCAGTGCACAACCGGTTGATGTGCAGCGAGCTTACAATGCCTCCGATTCAGGAGTCGGTGTAAAAAAAATCGCTCTAGATGCAGAAACGCTTTTGTAGGGGGTCAGAGAAGAATCACTGCATCGGCTGAGAATAAAAAAGAAGACTGCTTTGGCCTTCGAATTGTTTTAGGTGATTGCATAAGGGACCCTGTGAGTTTTTCTCATGTTGTAGCTGAATAAGATTCGTGCATCTTGCCAAAGGTATATTTTGCAAACAGCAAAGCTTAGATCCCCCTTTTGGTGAAGCCGTAGGACGATGATGACTGTTGCATGGTCATGCCCCTATCGTTAAAGCCATGGTTTGTTCTCTATGTATGTATGTATGTATGTATGTATGTATGTATGTATGTATGTATGTATGTATGTATGTATGTATGTATGTATGTATGTATGTATGTATGTATGTATGTATGTATGTATGTATGTATGTATGTATGTATGTATGTATGTATGTATGTATGTATTTATGTACGTACGTATGTATGTATGTATGTGCCTTGGCAGCAATGAAACAACGGTAATTGAATTATTTTATTGCGATATCAGTTATATGGACACTTTCGATTGGTTCTTGCCGTCGGCGTCGTCATCGCCGTCATGTTCCGTTTGAAGTCCAAGTTGGCAACATGCCCCCGCGAATCGTATGTTCTACCTACGGGTAAACACGCTCGAGCAGGGGTGATGAACGCAGCTGAAAGCAGAGAACAAACGAGCCGGCCCATCTCCGCCGCTCGGAGGGCGCATGTGATAACATTCCCCCCCCCCCCCCCCCCCCCCGTGGATTAGATCTGCCCTCGAGTGCTCCAGCAGAGAGAAAACACTCCGTCCGTCTTTGACGAGGACGAAGGGAGGCGGGAAGGAAGAGGGGGAAGTTCTCGCTCGAGCAGCAACTTTGAACTTCGATTCTACGGGCGTGTTCACCAATAGTTAACGCGCGTGCGCTATCGCGGCAGGCAGCAACGGTCGACTCGTATGTCCTTCAAGGTGCTGCGCTCTCAACGCGATGAGTGTGTGTGATAAGAGCATCTGTTCGTGGAGCGGCTGCATTCTCTTACACCAGCGTTTTCGTTCATTGGTTCGCTGTTGCGGTGAAACTGTGATTTCTTGCTGTAACGAGTTATGCGATCGATTACTCCAAGCGAGTGATCCCACGAAAATTACTAGATTCTTTTGCCAAATACATTTCCGTTTCCTTCCAAACGGCGTAAATGATTGTCTGAATAATTTAAGGTCAGTCACAAATAGAAGGTAACTTTAGTGCGAAAACTCAGGCGTGGGAAGTTTAACAAGGATCTTCGAGGTTTAGTGCATGTGTTGTATATAAAAAAAAGCAGTACATAATTTCGCATGAATGATGAACTTTTTGTTGTAACGTAATTCTGTACTGTTCAAAACTAGTAATGTCATTACTTTCCAGTCCGCTGTTAGTTGCTGTGTAATATGATTACAATGAGGAGATTTGAAAAAAATATATTAGTATATTTAATTACTTTTAGGACTGGAATACAATGCTTGATATGTTTACAGGTGTTGGAACGTTTATGTGTACATGCGTTGCTGCTACAAGGCAAGGTATGTCTCCCCCCCCCCCCCCCCTCCTCGTTCTACCTAAGGTTAGGATCAAGTGAATTACATAGTTTCGATTTCCAATGCCAGGTGCCCATGGTATCACAAGTGCTTTGTACACATACCCTGGCTGCAGCGGGTGGTGGTTTAGGGAGCACTGAGTAACCTCACATTGTATCTGTCCCCAGCGCCTGTCCATCATCACTCTGCTGCCTATCGCTTTGACGATGCTGCTGATGATCGAGACGCTCTGGAGAGAAGGCTCCATCCTAGGCATCTGGTTCATGCTCGTACCTAACTGGAGGGACTTGCTGCAGATCACGGTGACGTGACCGTTTTATAACCTTGTTTTTTTTTTTGTATTCTAATTTCGGCCACAGTAAGGATGGTACGAGTGGCCAGTAGTCGTTGCTATTGCATAGAGATTTGTAAAGATCAGGCACATTGTCTTTCATATCTATCTATCTATCTATCTATCTATCTATCTATCTATCTATCTATCTATCTATCTATCTATCTATCTGTCTGTCTGTCTGTCTGTCTGTCTGTCTGTCTGTCTGTCTGTCTGTCTATCTATCTATCTATCTATCTATCTATCTATCTATCTATCTATCTATCTATCTATCTATCTATCTATCTATCTATCTATCTATCTATCTATCTATCTATCTATCTATCTATCTATCTATCTATCTATCTATCTGTCTATCTATCTATCTATCTGTCTGTCTGTCTATCTATCTATCTATCTATCTATCTATCTATCTATCTATCTATCTATCTATCTATCTATCTATCTATCTATCTATCTATCTATCTATCTATCTATCTATCTGTCTGTCTGTCTGTCTGTCTGTCTGTCTGTCTGTCTGTCTGTCTGTCTGTCTGTCTGTCTGTCTGTCTGTCTGTCTGTCTGTCTATCTATCTATCTATCTATCTATCTATCTATCTATCTATCTATCTATCTATCTATCTATCTATCTATCTATCTATCTATCTATCTATCTATCTATCTATCTATCTATCTATCTATTTAACCTAACCTAGTGCATAGAGTTTCCTATACATACACCAGAGGGAACTCTAGCGCTAGTGTAGCCACTGTGATAGTGTCTATGGGAGCTGCAAAGCATGGTGCTTCAGCGAGAATGGGAATTATATATAGGTAGTACACGAATTTGCCTATAGTATTTGTACAAATACTTTACGTTCCACTTGGCTTTGCGTGGCTTGAAGCTGCTTTGTCATGAAACAACAATCGGCAAATATACTTCACCACTTTAATCGTTTCGGCTTACCATTTCAAATCGGATCCCGAAGTTCAAAAGGGTTCGTTGTTTCATTTGATACAAAATAAAAAAAAAACTGCAATAATCGAAGCCGCAAATACGATTCGCCGCCCGCCAGTACGAAGACTATAGGAAAATCTGTGTACTACCCATCATTCCCATGGTTGCTGAACGATCGCAGCGCCAGAGTCCCCTCTATTTAATTTTAGGAAACTATATCACCTAGTGTAGTTTCATCTGAAATGTGTGGACTCCCTCCAGGTGTGGACTCGTGCGGTGGAGCAGGTGCTGTTCACCATTGGCGTCAGCTACGGTCCGGTAGGTCACCTTCGGCAGCTTCTGTCGCCGCTTTGAGAATGTGCACAGGTACTGGTCGTCTGCAACAACCGAGCTGCTCGCTTCATCAAAGTGCCGACATCTTTCTGTTCGCTATCACCTTTGAGCGCGCAGTATTCGGTTGGTGGGGTAATATTTCTAATCGCAACTCGTTTTCTTTGTCAAGCTATGCTATATCGCGTAAGAAGATCTGAAAAGTATTAATTAAGGCACAAGCCTTAGATATGCCTCATCAAGCGCGAAAAGTGACCGCCAGCCTCAACACAAGAAGTGATGCAAGAAATAATTATCACTTGATTTCTGGCCTCACTCGTGTTGAAGCCGCTGATGCCAGCGATGTGACGTCATCGCATTACTTTGGCCTGTGATTGTGACGTCATTATGACGACAATGTGCCGTCACTACGAAGTCACATTACTTCGTCCATCACATCGTCGCTTGTTCAAAGGTTTGCCCATCACGGAGTCAGTGCAAAACCACGTGTGGCGCAGCAATTTTCCTATTCCTCCAATCCCCGAGGCAGTACGAAATCACGTTCGGTGCGAAAAGCTTCGGGGTGGGATCAGTACAATCGACTGAAGAGGAAAAAAAAAAAGAAATGAAGATGGCAGTCGTCTCTGGCAAATGCTTTGAAGGGACCGTGCGACTTGTTAAAGTCAAAATCAAGATGGGAGCTAGCCATCAGATGGAAACACGTAGTAGGATAATCAGGGTGAACAATGGAAGTGCCTCAGACAAGCTGGCCGACGTTTCGATAGGAGGACACATCTTTGTCAAAGGCGCCGTGTCATCCTTGGCCTGTTAGCTTTAAAGGGGTTAGTGACACGGCGCCTTTGAGAAAGATAGGTCCTCCCATCGAAACGTCGGCCAGCCTGTCTGAGGCACTTCCACTGCTCACCCTGATTATCCCCCATTGTTAAAGACAAAGGAATTCAATGTGTATGCTGTCCATCGCAGCAGTGTGTTGCCGTAGCTCACAGGTGCATGTTTGAACGTGGCTGTGCGCGCATCCCGACTCGTGTCGCAGGGTGGTGTTCATGGTGACGCTGCTGACCCTGGCCGCCAGCCTGATGTACTCCATCATCGTGTTCTCTTCGATGGGCAACATGGCGCTCAGCCTCAACATCCCCGTCAAGGACGTCGTGCACGGAGGTCAGGGCTAACTTAGTTCCGACAACCATCGGACGTAGACTGCCGAGAATGCAGCGAAGTAATGCGTTCGATTGATCATATCTCTCTGGGTGATGTATCCTGCTCAGGCACGCTCAAAAACTTCCATAGTAGTCAATGTGGACGTTATACTGTAGCTCGTGGGGCATGATGATAGTTATGGCGCGAGAACAAAACGACGACACAGAGACAAGAAGGACCTCGCGGGGCCTATAGTACCTATTATGTAAGCACGCATATTAGGAATAACTTGTGTTAATAGTGCTCGATATCTTGGGCCACTGTCTCGTCGAGAAACTGCTTGCTTAATCAGGAAACACTGTATTAAGGGGAACAGTACGCGAGTATGCAGTACAAATAGAGCAACAATGAACCGTGCCCATGTTCCTTGCGGTACGTTTTTTTGCGCTTCGTTCCCCTTACAACTACGTCCCCGACAGAGCTGCAAGAAACGTATACAGTATCCGACGGCACCACCTCTGAACGACTACAAATCGATAAAGGTGATAATCGTTCGTTGAGAAAACAACTATTTCAAACAAACAAAAAAATTCCCGAAGTTCCAGGTCGTGAAAATCACAGTATACCGTTTTCTCTTCAGTAGCCATGATCGCGAGGCTCGGCTGTCCATTTCATTGCATAGTGTCGATTATTACGCAGGCCAGAGCGTGATATTCGTGGCGATGAGCAAGTACTCGGTGCACTGGCTCTCCTCCAGCCTATTCTTCCTGCTCGTACTCATCGCCGGAAGCAGTTCGCAGGTGAGATATACGTGCCGCCAGAGGGCAAGACACATAATCTGTATATTCAAGCTACGTATGAGGTTAGTGTAGCTAGTCATCTAAAAGTGGGGGGGGGGGGCAAAGTCAGCACAGGCATAATACAGGAGGGTGCTGCAACAAACCTTGCCCCCCCCCCCTCTTTCTCGTGCGAAACGCTTCGTACGTCTATGCTGGTAACGACTACCTTGCCACGAAATCAGCAAGTACAGCCTGTTTGAAAGAATGACCGATCAGTCTACAATTTTTAGGGATTATTTTGGTGCCTCCTCAGGTTTTCTACTTATCAAGTCGTAACACAGCCTCCTATGGCATAGGGCAGAGGCCCCACGCTATGGCGAGCATTACGGCAGGGGTGTCAAATGTCAAACTCACCTGAGCATACCAGCCAGAAAGTTGGACCTGAAAGGGCTGCATGGGTTATGAAGACAGTGTGGTGGGGTGGTAGTGGGGTGTTTTTGCATAGTTTTATTGAAGTTGTGATTGGAAATGCGGCCTCTCACGTATATGTCATGTAAAAGTAATTTCTGAAAGGTGCATGACGCCAAGGTTATAAAAGCAACGCATCGCTACCAATCTACAAGATTATTAAAATCTGGACACTAATATAAGATTTATTGGCCCAATTTCGACGCCGATGTTTGACGGTTATTTATTAACTCATAGAGACCGCATGGGGTTCCTCAATAAAATAACGTTTTCTGCCAGTCATATCTGAGTACCTCATGAACATACTCATTAAAGGGGCCATGACATGGTCACCCAACAATTTGTGTCAACAAAGAGTAGAATCAGAGGCTCTGTTAAGCCTATACATATATAAGAGTGCACCGTAATGGAATATTTCAGTGCAAAACAGGTTCTGGAATTAAGTCGCTGACCGTAAGCGCCTAGCATCGCCTGCGACCGCCATTTCGCTGTGGTGCGCGTGACGTCATGAGCTTGAAGGAGCAGAGACGTCTTCTATACCGAAGTTTCAGCCGCTGAAAATTGTTCAGTTTCAGTGCCGTGTTCACGAAAGTCAAGTTTTCCTCACTTTCATGCGCAGCTTACCACAGAACATTATCGTTCGGAATGCAGATGCTCGCACAGTTAGTGAATGCAGCTAGCTCCTCGTTACGTCACGACTTGCGAGTTCGCCAGTGTTGCCAGACTGCTAGGTCGAATTGTAAAGTAAGAGCTTTAACCGAATGCACTAACATTTCGCCGGCTTGTTTGTTAACGCACGAAGAATCACCCAAATAAAACATATGATGAAAAATTGGGTGTAATGGGCCCGTTAAGAAATTTAAAAGATATATATGGGATGAAAAAAAAAAGTCATGCGCATGTCGGGCCGCTAGCGATAGCTCAGCGGGTCACGCGTTTGATACCGCGGATAGGCGGCAACTGCACGGTCACGCGAGACCGTGAAATGTGCTGTGCTGTGCCTTTGCAGCTATCGATGGTCGACGTGGCACTGACCCACTTGGCCGACAGTTGGCCGTTGGTGCAGCGGAACCGGCGACACTTTGCAGTCGCCTACTGCGTCGTTGCCTTCCTGCTCGGCCTGCCATTCGTCACCGAGGTGCGGAGAGCTGTGCAGCGCTTGCTCAGCAGCTGAACATGATATATGGTTGACTGATATGGAAGTGATATAGGTTTGACGTCAAGGGACAAGGAGAGACTAAGATAGGCTCGAGAACCAAACGCTTCAATAAAACATCTTTGTTCAAATCAAAAAGCGTGGACAGGACATGTAACCAGAGGCCAAGATCACTAAGACTGGTCATTAAGATTGACATACTGTATTCCAAGAGAAACCAAGTGCGTTAAGGAGTATTAGAAAACACGCCGGCAGATATGGTTGCAGCATGACATAGTTGCAGCATGCACACGGCCTGGTTTATTGGCCAAACATATGGATGGCTTTGACCTCCAGTAGTATTAGTACGGAGAATGCTACTGCTGCTTCTGATGATGATTACTTTACTCTCGTAAGCATGAGAACAGCTGTACAGATGAATTCGTCGTTTCGTGGCGTTGTTAGTTTGATGCAGCAACGTGCAAAACTGCAAAGAATATTTTCGTGTAAAAGACGAAGATGTTGTCACGTATAGATGAAAGAAAAGTGACTATACCACATTAAAAATATGTATTTAAAGATTGTGTACTATGTGTCACAAGACGCATCCTACGTAGGACTACTAACGCATGTCTTTCCGCGCTGGTAAAAATGAGGTTTCTAACGCTTTTGCATCTGGAATTTAATGTTTACAGGGCACTAAATACATGGCTATTTCAGGTGCACTTATTGAAAGACGTTTGCTTTTCTCATTAGTTTTGTACATGCTTTCTGCGCCAAATGAACCTACTTTAAAGCCTTGTTTCTTATTCGGCCTCCACCTTCTATAGCTTTGTGATAGACGTGCAAGATAGCACCGTTAGTCGCGCATATATGCGTGACCAATGATATATGTATACGTCACGGCCAATGCAGGCGGGCTTGTACCTGGTGCAGCTTGTGGACAGCCAGGTGGTCGGATTCCTGATCAGCTACGTGGCCTTCTTCGAGCTGCTGGCGGTTATTTGGATATACGGTGCGCCAACATATATAAAACAACACGTGTACCACATCTACCATGACGTCATGCGTGATGCTGAATATGCGCGCAGTTGACAGCGTTGCCATAACACACACGCACACACACAGAGAGAGACTGGATTTGAAAAGAAGAGTGCGTCACGTTTATTTGTAAAAGGCATCGTGTAGCAAAAGCGCGGACGACATAGACATTCATAGCACAATTTAGAATTCGTATTTTAGACGTGCAACATTCATCATTACGTCAGAGAGCGCTCGCCCAACTTCACGCGAGTCTTCCGCAGCTTGACTTCGTGTTTCATCACTGCCAAGCAATCGTTCGGCACGATGGGTAAGCAGGTTTCTCGATAGGGAGGCGGAGGACGGGCAAAGTTTTATTCACTTTCATCACAAATTCTCATCGATCTTCCATTCGCGATGCGTGCAGGGCATGCTCAAATGCGAGAGCCGTGCCAAAACTATAGTTTCGCGGTCGTGCACTCAGGCAAATGGTGCGAAGCTGATCCATGTATATCACTGATTTAGCTTTTCTTGTTTTTTTTGTTTTTCGCCGACACTACACACTACAGACACTACCGTACTCTGCGGTTAACTCTAGCGCGATGTGTTTAAGAGCCCCCTGAACCACTCCGAGTATGAAGACCAGAGGATGGTTTCTTTCTAGCTGCTCCTCTCCACTTCCATCAAACCTGTGGACACTGAAGAGCTAAGCGTTGAGCATATGAGCGGGCGCATGGTGGGAAAGGGCCTGAAGGGGGGGGGGGGGTTCGGGTGGTAATTTTAGGGGCAAAGATCCTTAAGGCATGGGTCTGTCCATCTCTTGTATGTTTGCGTGCAGCACGTAGCCACCGGTGGCACATACCCGCTCTAGAGCGGGTATGTGCCACAGGGGATGCGAGATGGAGTGTTCACTATAGGTGGACGCGCGGACGGATAGATAGACGCGCGGACGTACGGACGGATGGACGCACGAACAGACAGATAGATGGTTGGACGGACTCGCGGACGGAGAGACGGACGGACGCATGCATGCATGGACGCACGGATGGTCACGCGGATGGACGGATTTAAGGAAGAACGAACGGATGGACGGAAGCACGGACGGGCTGACGGATGCTTCGCCCCACTCATCATCATTCACTCCGTGGATATGCTGTGATTTTTTTTAATAAGTGGGGAGATTGACTAAATATAGGGTCCCTCGCCCCTCCCCTCCCCCTGAGAGGAAACCGTGTACACGTTTATGATTGCGAGCCAATCAAAACTTCGCGATTTTCGGCTATACGTGCTGTTATCTTTGGTTGCGCAGTCGAAAACGCGCAAGACGGCGTGAAATCAGTTGTTCGTTCATGATATTCACGCGAGTACGTTGTTCTTTCCTCATTCGTTTTGTCTATGTCCTCTGCTCTAAATGAGCTTGATTTAAAACCTTGTAGCTCATTCGGCCTCCACCTTGTACCGCTCTGTGATAGACGTGCGTGCCAGATAGCACCATTAGTGACGCATATATGCGTGACCAATGATATATGTATACGTTACGGCCAATGCAGGCGGGCTTGTACCTGGTGCAGCTGGTGGACAGCCAGGTGGTCGGATTCCTGCTCAGCTACGTGGCCTTCTTCGAGCTGCTGGCGGTTATGTGGATATACGGTGCGCCAACATATATAAAACAAAAAAACATTCACCGTGACGTCATGCGTGGTAAAGGCACGCTTTGTGCTGAATATGCGCACAATTGGCAGTCTTGCCGTAAAGCACACACACACACACACAGAGAGAAAGAGAGACTGAATTTGAAAAGTACGTCACGTTTATTTGTGAAAGGCATCGTGTCATAGCTAAAGCGCGAACCACATAGACATTCATAGCACAATTTAGAATTTGCATTTTGGATGTACACACTCATCATTACGTCCGAGAGCGCTCGCTCAAGTTCACGCGAGTCTTCCGCAGTTTGATTTCGTGTTTCACCACTGCCAAGCAAGCATTCGGCACCATGGGTAAGCAGGTTATCTCGATATAGAGGCGTAGGAGGGGCAAAGTTTTACTCACTTTCATCACAAAGTTTCATCGATCTGCCATCCGATGCGCACAGGGCTCAAATGCGAGAGCCGTGCCAGAGCTATAGTTTCGTGGTCGTGCACTCAGGCAAATGGTGCGAAGCTGATCGTCGCATCACTGAAGGGGCCGGAAGGGGGGTGGGTAATTCGGGGGTTAGTTTTTTAAGAAGTGCGGAGATTCACTGAATATAGTGTCCCTCGCCACCCCCCCCCTCCCCTCTGATAGGAAACCGTGTGCACGTTTATGGTTGCGAGCCAATCAAAACTTCGCGATTTTCGGCTATACGTGCTGTTATCTTTGGTTGCGCAGTCGAAAACGCGCGATACGACGTGAAGTCAGTTTGTTCGTGCATGATATCCGCGCGAGAAAAGGTGTAATGGGCACGGGACTGCGTCGCAGGGCAGACACATATCCCTCGAGCAGGAGACCAATAGATAGCTTATTTCCCCGCGACGGTATACGTGAACAGCTGGCGTCACGAATCGCGCCGAAAGGACGGGAAACGGTCGGTAAAGAATAACAGTGCTCGTTCTTTGTACTTCCAGACGTTGTTTATATAGGTCCTATTTAAAGATTGTGCAAGATTGCAACAATGCGCCGTGTATAACGCGTGCCAATGGCGTTGTCACACGTTCACCCTGTAGGTCTGGAGCATTTGAAACTGGACGTGATGCTGATGCACGGCGAGCTCTCGGCGGTGAAACTTGAGGCCGCCTGGTGCGTCGTGGTTCCCGTAGCGTTGGTGGTGAGTTCCGCTGGTTGCTATGGCGAATTCAGTTTTATACGGTGCCCCATGCGTTGCCAAGAAACCTATGCTATCTACTACAGTGGGAAGCTCCGGCCGCGTTAGAGAGTTTTACCAGTTGTGGTTTGCCGTATATACACTGTCAGTGCACGAATTTTTCGTACCACCGAGTCAGCGCGAACCCCCCCCCCCCCCCCCCACCTTCTTTTTAAACGTACTAACCATGCAAGCTGCTCATTGCGTATATATGGTAACGAAATGAGTTGATCCAAATGATTAATAGAGTTGTTGCAGACATAGAAAAAAAAACATGCTACGTGATAACCACGACGGTATATAGGTATTCCCGTGCTTATTTTACGAAGTAAGCTTATGCCAAGAGATCACAAGTGAGAACTTGTGCGCAGGGTGAATTAGGTATAAATTAAAGTCAAACAAAACGAAGGTGAGTAATTATATAACGTTATTTAATGTGTGTAAGCTTTCGTCATGCACCACAATACCCCTCTCCCCCCTAAAAAAAACAAAGAAAAAAATCTGGCAACGCCTCCCGCTCCTCTCCGTTCCCTGAATACATGTATATCGGCCGCTGACGGTGCAATGTTGCAAGGCCAAGTTTGTTCCTTTCGTCAAAAAATGAGTGTTTTTTCATCTGCATTGCGATTGTAGTCACGAAGCGCGCGAAGCTGCTGCACCAATAATGGACGCAGTGTATTTCGACGTCGGAACGCGGTGAAGGTTATCTTGAGTTGTTTCACGACCGTGCTACTAGGTTTTGTGTGCGAACTAGAAGGGTCAGCAGGCCTTGGTACGAACCGCCAGAAGAAGCCCGAACCAACGACAACCATGGGACAGTAGTCGTGACGCAGTGCACAGAGGTCAGTGCAGTATTGTCAAGAACGTGGATAGTTCGTGCTCGGGGTTGTACACTGTCGTTCTTTATGAAAGGGAACACGCGATCGCGTAACCTGCTCTCTATGACTGCTGCAGTGTGTTGCAGCGCCTGTCCAGTGGCCATAACTCGTTTTTTTTTACAATAGAAGACTCCAAAAGCCGACGCCTTTTCTTTTGCTGCCGGTTGATGATGGTCCTGTAGGCAGCCGCCGCAGAGCGGCCACTCGCCCACGTGTTCCCTTTCATAAAGGACGACAATGTACAGTGCTCAACTCGGCTGTCTAAACGACGAAGCGTCGCGCGCGGAACAGCACGAGCGACATCTGCAGTCGCAAATACGCCACATCTGAGCATGCGCGGCGCCAATGATGTGCCTGCCCTGCAGTTTCCACCCATCTCCGCGGCCGCGATGGCTGCTTTGGCTGTCGAAGCACTGTCAACATTACAAAATCGAAATAAAACAACGACAAAACAGAAATATTCTCGCTTCGTGATATCACGTCGCAGCGACAACGGTTTTACTTCGTCTTTATTTCTTGTTTTTTTCGCGAAATCGCTCAGATCGCTTTCGACGACCAAAGCGGTTGTTGCATCCGCGGCCGTAAACAGCGATCAGTATCGAAAGGCAGGCACATCACTGGCGCCGCGCATGCTCAGTTGTGGCGTATTTGCGACTGCAGATGTCGCCCGTGCTGTTTCGCGCACGACGCTCCGTCGTTATGGACAGCCGAGTTGCGCACTGTACAAGGGACAGCTACATATATATAGGACGGGTTTTGAGGCAGGCCACATTTTTAATATGTGTGGCCTAAGTGATGCGCCTGCATTACATTTTTCTTTCTTATTTATCGCTATAGACTACAACAACTATATTTTGACCGTCAGAAGCACCGCGACGGTCGGTAGCAACGCAGACAAACAAAAAATGGCGGCGTATCCACGAGCTTCACTGCAAAAGTCGTCGATTGAAAGACGATAGTCTTCTGTCTGGAGGCGCTGCGTGAGATATAGACGCCATCTGGCAGTAATGTCGAGAAACAAAAGCTTGTGTAGAATGCAGAGCCACTGGTAGGTGGCAGCACCGTGATGTCTTAGCGAAGAGTAGGAAACACCCGCTTTCTCGTGCATAGCGTCGCACTGTCAGCACAGTGTATTAAACACTAGGGCCTTTAAGAATGCGTATCTATGATTTTTTATTAAATAAACACACTACCTAATAGTAACGTATTGATGTTGCGCTTCAGCTTTGTGTAATGTTTGCTTGTTTTATCGACAGTGTTCATAGGTATATGAATGCAGCCACGCATACGAACAAGCCATGGCTGGGCGTTGAGAAAGGGCTTAAACTTTCGCTGGTTGGCTGAATCATGTGACAGACAAACAGACAGACCGAAATTTTTGCGTCGAAGTATTCTAAGAAATACTATCCTCTTTAAAAAACGATCCCGGTAAATGTACGACGGATCACCCCGAATGATGACACCACTGACCCAAAATAAACGTACAGCACAGCTTCATCAAGGGTCGAGCCGGTTGATAGGTCTTGTTTTCATTAATTTTTTCCTGTGCTTCCGCGTGTTCCTCCCTCCTACTCCCTTTTTCTTGACACGAAATTGCTTTATGCCGGAGTCCACTACTGTTACGCTGACTTACTGCCGTCACGGATATGACGTTGTAAAATATACATATTGTAACAAGCGTGTTCTTCGGAGGAGTTTCAGCAAGAAACTCGCCAGGGCAAGCAAGACAGCTGCAGCATAGAAAACAGGACGCCGAGAGCGCGACACACGAACGTCGTCGTCTTTTCTCTCGCTCGTACAAAGACGGCGCCAAGGTTCACCGGTACAATATACATGTTGCAAAGAAAAAAAGCATGAACGAAAAGCATTAGCGAGGCGATTCAGCGCCCGACCCAATATACGCCCCACAACGCACGTTGCTGAGATACACACCATGTACCGTTGGCCATCATCGGAGCTCAGTAACTGCACCGCGTTTTCGTCATCAGTGACGAGATGGCGTGGGGAGCGTGCGCGTTTGGCACGCGTGCTCTCGCCCAGCTCGTTGCTAAGCCCGTTGCTTTGACCACGCCTCCACATGGCGTGGTCAAAGTGCATATAGATGTTCCCTGGCGTAGTCGCTCGCGTGCGCGCTTATCTCGGGATTCAGGCGTTTTGTACCTTTTGTGCTCCCACCACAAGTTTTTTGCAAGTTACAGTCATTAAAGAGGCCACGAAGGTCACTTCACTCGCTGCCGTGGCCGCGTTCACGGAGTGAGCGTTGATTGATTGATATGTGGGGTTTAACGTCCCAAAACCACCATATGATTACGAGAGACGCCGTAGTGGAGGGCTCCGGAAATTTCGACCACCTGGGGTTCTTTAACGTGCACCCAAATCTGAGCACACGGGCCTACACGGAGTGAGCGTGCTGCTCACACACGGAGTTAAGAGTTGCGACAGTTGGTCGCGCTCGTCCTGTGTATACTTGTGCGTTAGTTTCGCGCGTCTTTCTGTTTAAGCAGCGCGCTTTAAGTGTCGAGCTGTGACAGTCTGCGCTTCGTCCTGTGTATGCTCATTTCATGTGTGCTTTCTGTTTGAGATGCGCGTTTCGAGCTGCTTGCCGTCCTTCTCGTGACATTGCTGTTTATTGCTGTAACAGCCATTCCTTCGTGGCGATACGATGCACAATAAACGCCCAACTACCTCTGCGAAGACACGTTTCACTTTCGTGCTAAAGTGACCGACTCCTAAAAAGATACATCCACCAAGTCTTTTTTTCTTTTCTTCCTCTGCGCCGGCGACCAGAACGGTTACTGTAGCCGCGGCGATAAACAAGGAAAGAAAATGGAAGGCAGGCAAGACATCACTGACCGCGCATGCTCAGGCATGGCTTATCTCAAACCACATAGTATACCTGTATATATACAGTCGCGCTCGATATGGAGGTTATCGCGCGAGCGCCGACCTGCCTAACATCGTTTCGGAACAGGGAAAATCAAGATTGCGCAGTGCTCTCTCCCTCGTTAGTTATTCCACGTACCATCAATCGCCCCCCATGACAAACTATGTTCCCTTTCTCTCTATTCTGAGCCTTCCGTTCGTTGCGATCGAGCGTATTTATATATACATGGGCTCTTATCTCCGCGGGCGATTACAAAACCGCTGGGAAAGATGTGTTTGAAGCTGGTGCTTGGCACTGCCTCATTTGAACAGCTTCCTAAGACTAGCGTGATAGCAGTTTAGGGAACAGCCAAAATAGTGAGCGAAACTTGCGTGACACCGTGCTCTCCTTGAAAGAGTATTCTGGGACATGGCGCTGCTGCAGTTCTCGGTCGATGCTTACACGAGAACCTTCAGATCACGCTCGACCGGGATGCCGCCGGTGCAGTCCCGACAGCGATGCTGCGCTGTCCTAGACAAGTGTGTCGGCCTCTGTTTTGGGGTATGCTTTGATCTGTGCCATCTATAGTTTTACGCCGTACATGCGAGACATTTCTGTGGCACGACGCGACGTCGCGCTGTCGTCGCCGTTCCGTCGGATTGAGTGGATGCGTCGGTCCTGGTTGGCAGGTGACCCTGCTGACGAGCCTGCTGTCCGGCTGCAGCTACCTCCGTCTGGGTCCCATCCAGTTCCCGGTTCACGTGTGCTACGTCGGCTGGAGCCTCGTCATCGTCGGCGCACTGCAGGTGCCCTTGTGGGCGGTACTGGAGGCCATACGGAACCAAGCCGTGAGTGCTGTGTCCCAAACGGGATGGTGTCATTTGATAAGACGTGCCGCAGCTCACCGAAACCTTTTTTTAAAGGAGAGACAGGGCTTAACATGGAGGCAGCCAAAAGTTATTTTTTTTTAAAGCACGCAGTGTTCGACACCAGCCCCCTCCCAATCTTTTTTTAAAATGTTATTTCGTGCATGTGCTTGTCGATGTGCACATATTTGCCTACGAACCTTCCACTGATACTTTTGTGCCAAGTAAGTGCTTATTTTGATATCAAATCAGGTTTAGTGGTCCGCATCGCGTTAACGCACTTCAAGTCCCCCGCCTGAAAATGACCGTCTCACGCCACTGTTGCCGTGCACAACGTTACTAGGCTTTACTGCGCAGCCGCCGACACTACAGTAGCAGCAGAGTAAAAGTAGGGAAAGTTATAGAAGCTTCAACTGCCATTGAACAATTTTCTACCGTAGCTTCCGAGATGGTGGGTGTGCTTGGTTCAACTGGGTCCCGCTAGATGGCATGACCTGTCCAGTTTAACCATGCGAAAGTGGAACTTGTGAACCACTCGCCCCATTCCCCCTAAGTAACGTCCAGTGGTTCTCTTTTCCATGAACCAAACAAAAATGAACAAGTAGCATTTTATTACGTACGTCTCTTGATGCACGGAAGGTTGTTCATTCAGTGCAGCTAGCTCGATTACTAGTGATTAATTATAGGGTACGTCTGACGTCATCGGGATTATTTTGCAAATTTCCTACTCGTGGCGCATGTGTTTTCGTGCATTTACTTTAATTTCTCAATACGTAGGGTACTGCATGCTGCTGATAATATTGTCGTCTTAGACGTTGTCATACATTGGGCTTTCACTCTGACAAAAATTGTTATTGGACTTTAGTGTTTCTTTAAAACCTTAATAGGTGAGCGAGGCCATATGTCTGATTACTTCGTGTCTACGTGCCACGTTATCTCGAACCCACTTTCTCATTACGGTTCTCGGGACGCCAGCATCGGATTCTGTGCCTTTTCGAACGCTGCCGACGCCACACATTGCGTCGACACCTACCTCCCTCACACATGGGCTGACCACGTAATCCTCACAGCAGCTTTTTCAGCTGTAGATGCATGTAACCAGCGATTAAAACTGAGTTTTCAGAACTACGAAAGAAACATATAACGCTCGTTCAGATGCAATCGTGAGGTAACCAGATCCATCTATAAGGAACAGCGTTTTCAAGCATTGAAACTGATGCACGCCTACAAGTACGTGGTATTCACGGGTGCTGTCATTTGCGCGTTTGTAGAAGCTGGAGCAATGTCTCGTTCCCTTGTCAACTGTGGAACTGGGTCTGACGGCCATGTCCAGCTCGGAGCCGATTCGGTCGCCCATGGCACACCGTCGCTTCTGACGCTCGCCTTGAGACGCGTGGGCACACCGGACTTCATCGATGACACTGGTGGTACAATATCGTTATTTGTCGGTAATAAATAAAAGAGCTTGTTATTTATCGGTAACAAATAAAAGAGCTCGTATAGGTGATGTTTTTGTTAATTGTGGTGTAGTAGCGAAATGAATGAATCAACAATGGAACCTGTGTGCTATCTTAGTTGACTGATTCAAGGAAGGGAATTCTGAGGGTTCCTCAACCTTAATAGTTAACTGCCTGCCACGTTCGAGTGGCAAGCCTTCTTAGTCCTGGCCGAGCCCTTCAATGAAGGACTCGCTCCTGGCAAGGAAGTTAAATAAAATTTTGTATATTCGAAGCTCTCGCAATAGTCACCTGCATGCATTAGTGGTTAGGTCTTGCCCACTCAATATAGGTATGTGCTGCTCGGGTTGTGCCTAAAAATCAAGTAGTCTTCTTCTTTAGGAAACAACGTTGAACCGTCAAAAAACAAAGACCGTATATAAGAGTGGACACGAAATATCGCTAACTTGAAAGTAAAATTTATTACCGAAGAAAGAAAGGAAACGGGTACACCCCATTAGATGACGCACATGCGTGCACACTTAATGTAGTCTGCGAGAATAACAAAAAAAAAAAAAAAAACGCCGGGCCTGCGTGGAAGGCGCAGCACAGTCACAGCGAAAGCTGGAAAAGCGGCCTTTCAGAGCCTTTTCAAAACACTCATTGGGTAACTATACTGCAAGCACACTTGCTTGCCCACTAGGGCATCTGGTTAGTAGGCCAACAATTGCCATATGCTATTTTTCGTCGTTCTTCTGAGAAGCGCAGTATACGCTTAACACTTTTTTTGCAAGGAATTTCGTGCCAATTGTTCGTGCAGTGACTGACGACGATGATGAATTATGGCTGAAGTGGGTATGTGCCACAGTTTATAGGGGAACAAGAAGAAGCTTTTGCAATGGGTCGATTGGACCATTGGACGACCCACTCGTCCCGCTATTCGCATTGTGCGACGACTGGTTGTTCTTTGGGTCTTTTAAAGCGCTTTATAAGTCGTATTAACGCGATTGCTTTCCCGACATCAAGCCTGCCGAAGGCAAGTTTGCCAAGAGGTCACAAGCGCCATTGTGACCAATAGAAAATGCGATGCGTTCTCGAGTGTTGCGACGCCACGGACGGTCGTGTGGCGCGATTCGGCAGCTCGATCTCGAAAAGACAATTTGACTGTGTCTTTCATGTCCCGCTTATTGCCATACTAGACCATGCATGTGAATGTTTGTTCGGTAATCAGAGATCGTGTGGCTTTAGCTAAACGTGTCAGGCAATTGCCTGACGCGTTTAGTATATTTAGGGGCCCCCATTAGCATTAGGCGTTCTGTCCTTCAAGGTCCCGCTTAGTCCTCTTTTGTTCAGAATCTATATAGAAATGTTATACTTAGCAATAAGTGAAAACAGCAGCATTCATGATTTTGGGTTTTAGGCATTTGAAGTTAAAATTCTGGCCTATGCGGATGATGTCGCAGTTTGTTGCACAGACAAAGTGTGGCAGAGGTTATCACTGTATACAGTGAAGAGTTTGAGCAATGCCATTGGTGAACTGGGGAAAGTGCTTCGGTTTTGGCACGGAGAGAGGTCATTCGCACCAGACGTGTTTGCCAATATGAAGGGGGGGGGCGTCACCTATAGAGTACCACTAAAACAATACAATGACAACGATGACTATTGGCAAAAACACGCAAGAGAAATTCACTATAGGCCGCAGGAAAAGCACCTATATCAATGTTCTAGAGAGCTACGGTCTGCAATTGATTATTTGTCTCTAAACTGGGGTACGTGATGCAGGTGTTGCATTGTTCACGGGCCAATATACAGAAATTCCACCCTGTTTTCAAGGTGTTCGTGTGCACGCCTCAAGTTGGGAACGATGCAGTCGAACTAATTTAGACGTGTAAAGAAATGTGGTTTGGGACTACCACACTTAATCATAAAGCAAATCATAAACAGCTTTCTTTTTTTCGTAACGTTAGTGATCCATTGCTGCGTATGGTGTGCGAACTGCAGGCTCACGAGAGCTTTACCTGGATATGTGGTGGGCACAGACCACATGAATGGTGCTGTCCGCAGATATCTCAAGGAGGTGATCTTAAATATATATCCGCTTCTAAAGACGATAGTCTTTCTTGGGGACCTTCACTGCAAAAATTTTGGTCTGTCTGTCTGTGTCTGTCTGTTGTGAAGAGAAACACTGCATGAAGTTGATGAATTCGCCCTCACTCTTTCCCTTGCCCTCATTCCCCTTTCCTACCCAACTGCGTACAATGCGTGACAATGCATGGTATGCTTTACCCTCTCCCTTTTTCCTTTCTCTCGTCTTTCCAACTTCCTTTACCCGCCCCTTTGCTATCTGTATTTTTGCCTCTCAGTTCCTCTCTGTCCATAAATGCTATAGTTCTGCTGTCGAGGTTTCACAACGCTCACCTTCAGGCCGTGGGCAGGTTTGAATTCCGCGCGGGCAAGAATCCTATTTTGTTTAATTATTCCTTCTCCTATACTTCGCCGACCTGCACTGCTTCAGCTATTCTCGTTTTACTAGGCTGCACTCTGCTCCACCCTTGACATTAACCTCCTTCCAACCACCGCTTTTTCACTGTGCTTTCGCCTGGTGACGCCTTCGTTTTGCCTCGTACCTCCTGTAATATCGGTTTAGTGGCGCTCATATTTGCACGTGTCTACGCATGATACCCATGGGAACGTCGTCTTAATAAGCTCCACAGTTAAAATATGATGCAAGTGAATCCCATTGCACAGCAATTTCTTTACAATCTATAGCTTACTTCAGCGAAACGGCGAGATTGAGCATGTTTCATGGACCCTGGTGCATCCATGCAGGAGGCCAGTGGGTGCACCCGCGTCACTATATAGTTGGAGCTCCGGCAGTGCTGATCATTCACTTGTCATTTTGAGAGGCAGCATGAATGATATGTGGGGTATAACGTCAGAAAACCGCCATATGATTATGAGAGACGTTATAGTGGGGCTCCGTAAATTTGGACCACCTGGGGTTCTTTAACGTGCACCCAAATCTGAGCACATGGCCCTACAAACATTTCCGCCTCCACTGGGAAATGCAGCTGGCGCAGCCGGGGTTCGATCCCGCAACCTGCGGGTCAGCAGCCAACTACCTCAGCCACTAGACCACCACGGTGGGGCGAGAGGCAGTATGAAATGTGAATATAATCAATGTATACGCTTATTGCTACTCAGAAGATGAAACCAGTGAAAAAGCACTCGAAGACAGCATATAGAACAACCACACAAGGCGAGGCAGATTCTGGATCACGTGACAAATATGTCATTGATTAGCGACGGCTACCTCGGAATCACGCACCTGTCAAATGAACATACTTCGACGTCTCGGAGAACCACATGCAGTTTTTAGCGATTGGTGTTCGCCGCACTCGGACTGGCCAAGGTATACGCCGATCGAACGTAGCCAATTCAAACGCGAATTTGTGAGGATTCAATGAATCCTGCACAGCAACGGAACTGGTCTGGCTCCTGGAAACAGCGTAGACCGTGTTATGACCGCCATCGGTAGGCGCCATGCTGTCGCTGGGAAGCGTAGCCGGGCCGCGTTCCCACGCCTGGAACCCAGGTTTTCTTGGAACCAGCGTCGAGGGCTGACGGGGGAGCGGCGCTCTTTTAATCCTCAAACAAGTAGCCGACTCGCCGGATGCCTATGCCCGCCAGGTATTGTCCCTGCTAGCCGGCGGATGAGACGTTGTGTCGCAATGAAGCTGTAAGCCGTTCCAGAGAGGACAAAAAAGACAGCGTCTTCCTTTGAAGAAACGGTGACCGCCGCCACAAAGTGCCCTGCTAATTGAGCGGACAGATTGGCGGACCGTTTGATGTCTGCTGTCCGAAGCTTGGGACCCCTCGACCAGTGACACACACGACGAGCAAGAGCCCCTCTGGCGCCACCTTTCAGTGCAGTGATCTTGACTCAAAATTGGATGTTCACGTGCGCCGGGCATGCTCGTACCCCTCACCTGTTGTGTGTGTGTGTGATTGGTGTTCCACTGAAGAAGGAGGAGCGGCTTATAACGGCGCCGCAGAGTGCAGGACGTCGCTCTGAACCAATGTAAAGGTTCAACCACCACGCTCGTGGTTTGTGAACTCTTAACCTCATGGTGTGAATATTTGTAATTAGTGCCATAAACCTGTTTGTTTTTCGTTTCCCCATCTCGTAAGCGTTCGTTTCTTCAACCCGAAGCTACACCACGCTACCACAAGAGACCGGGTTTTGTTTTCGTATCCTCCAGCGACCTTCCTTCCAACCCGCAACAACTGGTTGGCAGAGGTGGGATACGACTCAGCACCCCGAGTCACAACAACTGGTGGCAGCGGTAGGATGCGAAGCTACAAGTGACAACAACAGTCGGCCCAAGAGAAGCAGCTGGCTGGAGACATGGATCACGTATGGGTGAGTGCTTGGCTTTTCCTTTGAGTGAACCAGGTTCTAAAAGAGGGTTAAATTTTAGAACTGGTAGTTAACTTTGCCGAAAGACTCAGTTTCGCCGTTTCGGAAAGTTGTTTTGGAAGTAGCGAGCACTCAGTACGATCATGGACTTACGGGAGCTGCAGAAGTCAGACTTGTTGCATGTTGTGTGAGGAATTGGGGATTGATACAAAGGGTTTGGCACGAAAACCCATAATCATTCAAGCGATTAATGATTTGGGGGCTGATGATGAGGAACTAAGCGAAGAATGGGACCTCATCATCGAAAGAAAACTAAGAGCAGCTCAGATGGAAGGAAAGAGTGAAGACGAAAAACTAGGCCTCAAGAGAAAGTTTTTCAAACAAGACTACGAATTGAGTAAGAGGCTGGGACTCCAGCCAGGAGTACTTCTTGAAAATGAGGCAGAGTTCGAGATGTCTAGGTACATGCAGCCATATGAGGTATCATGGGATATGGGCCTGTATCTTAGACTCTTTGAACGAAAGTGTAGTCAACTGAAGTGT